TAATCGATAATATTTTTATTTTTTAATTTTTTTTAAGATTCTACTACACTCGATTTTTCGGTTTCTAATGATGATGAAATTTAATGTGTGTATTAATAATTATAATTTATTAATCCACAATATAAGATACTAATTTATCTATTGTCTCTATAGCTAATGATGATGTCTTATAAACAATGAATGGATTATTTATCGCGGAAATATTTGGTAAATATATTTCAAGTTATTAAAATATATCCAACCGTCTAGCCTTGTTTAAAAAATTTATATAAAAGAATTTTTAAAAGAATGTTGCTATTTACCGCCGGTGGCGATATCACCAGGGTACCATATCTCAAAAACCTATTAGCTAGCACATGTCAGTGGTACTAAGTAAAAATGCTCAGGACCTCAAAAACTTAACCCTAACTAAAATTTGGATCTTTATATTTAACCCTAACTTCTGGCAACCGGCGATAAATACTAAACTTGGTTTAAAATATTCATACACATTATCCATGATTTGAGACTTCTTTGATTTTCTTTTATGCTTGTTTTTCTCACTTCCTTGCTGTATTAATATCCAAAATTATTTCAAACAAAATTCTGAAATTTTTTTATTAAAAAAACCTCAAATTATAAATGACATTATGAATACAGAAAAATAAAACGATCTTGATGTCTTGTGCTCGAAGAATAAGTAATTCTACTAAATTAAAATTTTAGTATTATACATGTTATACTCTTAATTAGATCGCTAAATACCTTTTGTTATAAGCGAGAACGTCAAGGATGATAATTGTTTTCGTTTATTCGAGTCCCGCCCATTCTTTCCATCCGTAACTCAAAAGTCATTACCCTTACAATCATCTGATCATCCGAAAAAAAATGAGATATTTCACCATATATAATATCTTCACCTCATACCATAAGTACAATCGAAGTTGTTCTTCGATAAATGAAGGCCCAGTACAGCAGAATAGTTCAACAATGCCAATACCTATAATAAGTAAAGTTAAATACAAATGCACGCTGATTATTAGGGGGATTTTTTATTCTTAAGAAATAGTTGGAATAGTTCTTGGAATATTAATAGTTATAGCAGTAATAGGAGTTTTCTGTTTTAGCTACTTCAACCGTCGTTATATATTTCGTGATTCATCACTCACATCAGGAAACCGGTACTACCGTAATTTTCGGCAAATAGTCCCGGACCTCTTACATTCCTAGGCCTTAAAAATTGAATAATACTCCCCCTGGGACCGTCAATTAACGATTTAATTTGACTAAATTGACACTAAATTGCCGCTAGGCGGGTACTTTAACAAGAGGGTACTATTTGCCGTAAATTACGGTATCACTTCTCGCGAAATACCCAAGTTTCAAAACAATCTTCAAAATAATTCCCAAAACAGTAGTTCTAATTTTTCACATACTATTAACCAAGTCGATCCCTCATACACTGCAAATATTGAAATATCTCTAACCGAAGGTGGAAGTAGTGGATTTTCTATTGATGGACGTTCTACACCTTCAAATTCTTTAAATGCATTTCAAATGTCGATATTATAATGGGATTGAAAATCCACTACCGAGTGCACGAATTATTCCATTAGAATTACAAATGCAGTTTTGAAAAGAAATTATGGCTCAAAGAGAATGTCTTGGTTTAAGATATAAATTATCTGATCTACCATCAAGTATTAGACCTTGTTTATAATTTATATTCTATAAGCAAAGGTGTAAATATGGGCTAGGTGCTGGAAAAAGGGACGAAAATGACAATTTTTTCAAAAGCAATTTTTTTTATATAAATCAATTTAAAATAAGATTATGATCATTTTTCTATTAAGATACAAAAGTAGTTATATTAATAAAATTTCGCAGTATAGCTCTTTAAAGTTTGCATTTTATTATTATTTATTATAAGATTTATAACATAAAATTGATCTTTTTTTTGTCAATTTCGTTCCTTTTCCCAGCACCTAGCCCATATATATAAATATAGGGAATTGATATTTATACCGTATTCGTATCCCTTATTAAACAAAAAGTGTCCTAAAGTAGATGTTGTTATTAAGTAAACCTCTTTAGCAGTCTTAAGTAAAGTTGTTCCTTTTACCTCTTTGGTTCTAATGATAGTAAAATCATTAAAATTGGATTAGTAGTTCTTATTTAAAGTTAATTAATATTTGTTAACTTTAAATATTATTAACTCAAGAATTTCTAAACCAATTTTAATGGTTTTACTATCATTAGAACCAGAAAGGTCTGAGGAACAACTTTACTTAATACTACTAAAGAGGTTTACTTCATAAAAATGTCTGGTTTAAAGCATTTTTGTTTAATAGAAGGTACGAATATCAAAAATGGTGGGTATAAATATCAATTCCCTAAACATATAAGTATTTATTATTTATTAGATTTGTATTATGTATCTATTAGTTTTGGTTAACAAGTATATCGATATAATATAAAGTAAAAAATTATATATATAATTTATTTTATTTTTAAACTATTTAATCTTGTGTATAGATTTATTATGGGCAGTGTTGTCACTTGACCACTTGGCCGGCCAATGGCCAAAAAGAGCAAGAAAATTATTTGGCCGAAACGGCCAAATATATTTTGTATAGCAAAGCCAGTAATGTGATTGGTTAATATTATAAAAGGTAGAAACTTTGGTCAAAATTTGACCATTGGCTAACTGGTTGGCCACTAAAGATTGCCAACACTGATTATGGGTATATCAAAGAAAATTTTATTATCGTCATCTCTTCATTTATTTTTGCAAGTGACGCAAACTAGAGCTCTGCAACCTGGGCTCGTGCCTGTGCCTAACAATAAATTAGGTATGGACATGGGCATAAAGTTTTGGCATAGGCATAGGTATAAGTATAAAAACTTGGGTATAACAAAAAATACGTTTATTATTTCTATATTTTAGTATTTTATTGTGCCTGAAGTTTGTGCTTATTTTGTGATAGAACCATAGCTGCTCGATACGTCAGTATCGAGACAGCTTTTGTCTCGAATCATGTACGACGATCGAACATGTGATAGGCCCGGTTACGGTCACATGTTCGATCGATTAGCGATTATCGAGTGTCAATTAATTGAGCGAAAGTATGTGGTAATTTGAGTAATTAGTAATTAGATCGTTGATAAGAGTTTGATCTATGAGGTAAGCATGAAGTAATTGAGTTAGTATGAGGTAATTAGGGGATTATGAGGTAATTGGAAAGAACGACCCTAGCATGACCACCAAGATCAGTTACGTAATCTGTATTTAAAATTTTGATTATCGATACATAACCAAATAAAAAATGATTCAATAAAAAATTCCGAATTTTATCAAAAAAAAAGCGAAATTCCAAGTTAATAATATTCTATCCTATTAATATAATCGAAAGTGTTTATTGT